TCACATATCCTTTTAGAATATTCCATCCTCGGTAAAACCCGTAATTCATAAAAACAAAGGCGTTTCTCAAAACGGACTAGTAGCTACAGTCGCCATCGTCAAAACATTTTACCAGGTGGACACAACCAAGATTTCCAACAGTGTCCTTTTGCTTGCTTTATTTCATGGTTCCCAACAAGGTGAGTATACTTTGAACTGAAAACTTTTCCCTTGCTTTCAAAAAGCAAGTTTATTCAGCTTTCGTTTTCACAAACTGTCAAACCTTATGGGTGTCGTTTTCAATACTCGAATCAATAGAGAATTGATCTAAAAGCACAACAATACAAACAATCATTGAAAATAAGCGATGATGGACTCAAGACTTTCCTATGCTATTCTGAGAAATGCCTGTTGCAGAGTTACAGACCGAGTTTTCCATCGTGAAAAGAGTCATATAGAAGGCAAAAAACTACTATACGGAATATAATTCTGTGTACTGACTAAAAGACTCAACTGAGAGTCTGACTGGTTTCTTGTTCTTCCAGAATATCTTGGAAATATCAACCCAAAGACTGTTTCTCAACAACAGACTACAAGATTAGACTATCAACTGCTAATACATACGCAAAACTGCTCTTAAACAATTATCGATAGAAATAAACAAACTTGTGAAACAACTAGTTGACCAAAGTACCAACACTCAACGACAGCTTAAACTCCTTTGTCTTTGCTCTCTTCTCGACAACGCTAATCTCAAATTTCCATACAAGACCAAAAGTGAAATAACAACAAGTGTTGCATAAAGGATATAAACTCCAAAGAGATAATAAAAGTTGTAAATACTAAAAAGAAACTCCAGTCTACTTGGAACTCAGAGCACAGGACTCGACGGATTGTTATAAAAGAAACATTTGAAGGGCTTAAAAAGAAACGTAGATAATAGAAATTCACTTGTCCAACTAAAACGAACGACGAATTTGCTTTAGAAATTAAAGTCTGAAAAGTTTCACTAGCAAACTTGAACCAGGTCCACAGCCTTGACAATACTCACTGACCCTTCCTTTCCATCCAACAATCAAACCATTGTGTTCATTTCTAATTGGATTGTTATGCTATGTATTGTCTCCTTTCACTGGAGATATATTATTTTGAGTGACTAGTGAGTTTTATGAAAGAATATATTCCACTTGGAGATATGTAAAAAGGTTCTGGAACAATAAGTGTGCTAGATACAATCAATCTCACATCTCAGTATTGTTGTGAAACGAGAAGAACAGTGTCGTAACAAAGGTCCTCGCAACTCCCTAGCGACACTGTAGCCTTTTAACAGAGTTGAGTTTGATTAATCTTGTCTCTGCAAGATAAATTTCAAAATACTTGTGACCCTATTTTGATAACAAATCAAGAACGGGTTTTGCTACAACCAGTTTTTGACTCGTTCTCGATCTGAGAACCTTTCTTTGTTGGTCACTCAAAATTAAGGAAAACTGTTTGAAGGTGTAAATGTTCATTTTCTAATTTCAACGACTTAACTCTGTTTGGCTTGCATTGTGAGAACTAGAACCTTTCCTTCTATGCAAATTACGCTCAAGGAACAATCTTTGTTCGATTACGAGTTATAAAGAAGACGAAATCGTATATTCAACTCTAGAATTGGAAAGTATACAGAGGACAGGACAATAGTAAAAAACTGGCCAAAGGTTGGGAATACTTTTGTCTATACACAAATTCGTACATAAACTACTTACGATAAGTAGGATCGAACCTCAAACTTTTCAAGGCTATTGGTTCGTTCTCCACGTAAAGAACTTTTTGAGAGTTTTGACTGGTATAACAACAGTAAAAGTGGCGATGCTTTTGCTTCTCCTTGCACTTATATTTCAAGATTCACCTTTCTTTTTTACTTTGCAAAGAGGAGAATGAAAGATTCTTATTTTTCCATTGTTTCTACGTTTATATTCTTTTCTTTTCACTAGTAGACGAAATTTATCCAGTATATTTAAAAGAACAAGACCTTTACCAGTTTGGATAATCACAATCACAATATCAATTTGACTCTGCACAATTTTATTCTGCTGAATAAGACAAAGTTGAAAGAGGCATTTTCCTTCTTTTTAGAGCAATTTGGATAAAACTATATCTTTTCTTCTTGCTTTATGTTTGACTTGTCCCAAATGGAAATGAACGTTTCTTGTATATATAGACAGTTTGTTGATACAAAACTTTGAGTTGTCTTTGATTCTTGTTACAAATATCTTAAAAGAAGCCTCCACCAGTGTATCCATCTGTTTATATTTCGCGAGAGTCTTCTGCCTAGTGTCTAACGCGAATAACTTTTGTATTATGACACATGCAACGAGCTGATGAATGAGAGAGTGGAAAAAGAGTAGGAGACAACTGCAGCGAAACAAATCTTTCCTTGAATTTGCAGAGCTTTTAAAAGTTTTGTTTTCTTCGTACTGGAAGAAATAAGAGTCCTCTTGGAGTTATCCATGCCCTAAAGCAGCTTTGTACTTTACATATATTACCTGTTGTAAAATGATGTCTTCATACTCATTCTTGGATACTTATCATGATAGCCGATAGATTGCTGCCGTATTTTAGTTGAGAACTGAACTATGGACTGGCGCTGTCATTTTGTCATATGTTGGGCTATTTTGTAATTTTTACTACATATAAAGTTCTTGATAAGACTAGACGGAATTTCTGTAAGAGCCTTTGAGGTTTCAACTCAGCCTGCAACAAAGATTGAAGCTTCTTTCGCTTCCGAATAACCGTTCTAACTTGTACACACTCATGTGACCATCAGCGTAACATTTCAGATCATTCATTATACTATAATCACTTAAAGATTTGTCATATACGCCCTTCAAAGCAAAAGTTGGCTTGGTTCAGATAGCGAAGCAATTTGAATTTCTGACTTTACTGACATATTTACTAGATAACGACTGTATGCTATTTGTAGTGGACAAACTAGAGTTACGGAACAGCAAATTGCATTAAACTTCCAATATTTCCTTGTTTCCCTTGAAAAGATGAAAAGTTCACGTCGTGGATTTTTCAAAATATTGAGAAACTACTTGCTACTTGAAATTTCTATTTGTTGCCAGACAAAGCACCAAGTCGTCTTTCTAGCACCAGAAGCACTGGTTGAATGGCAGTCGAAAATTAAAGTTTGCTATTCTGATAATAGATCAGTCCATCAAACTTTTAAGGGCTGTTGAAAGCAAGAAAGAAGAGCACAAATACTATTCATTAAGAGCAGTTTGGAGATATATTCTAGAACAGCTGCGAAACTTGTTCAAGAGAAACCAACGCCATTTGAGTGGAGTTGTTGGTCTGAAAAGGAAAAACTCTCTCGCAACTGCAGAGTTACACCACCTAGTACACAACTGACGTTTTCCTGTGCACTTGACAAAAGCAACCGACCTATACAACTGCAAATCTCTTTCCCGTAAACCGTCTGGATGGAAAAACAAGTTTAGTAAAATAATACTCTAGAAAATCAGTCGATCACTCTCCAAGGAGGTCTTCTGACCCAAAAAAGACCGTGTTGAGGAAAAAAAGAAGTCTGAAAAAGGCTTCGGTCTTATGTCGACCTTGGTCAGTTAAGAGTTCATAGACCCCCCATCGGGGATAATTTCGAATAGCTTTTGATGACGCTTGGTGTCCTTCAACACTAAAACATAGCTTTGGAACGCGATTTCCCGCTAGGCTACTGAGACGAGGGAATTAAAGGTATATGAACAAATCAAATAGCAAAATCGGGTGATCAATGATGGGATTCTAAAAACAAACAGCTGTCCAAAGATTGGCTATTTGCAAGATATTACATATCACTTAAAGAGAGTAAGTTGTGACTTTTCGTCTCAAAGAAGCAATACGTTTCAATTATTTCCGTTAAAAACTGATAAAGGTTTGATTGAAATGGTTCGAACGTTGCTCCTCATAGCCAGTGAATTTCAAGTTTAGAAATTTTTCAAGATGCAAGAGGATTTGTCGTTCTCATACTCAAAACGATATTCTGAAGGCGGCAAAGTTGCTAGAATTATAGACAACATTGAATTCCGACTGAAGGATGACCTTTCTGAGCCTAAAAGAAGAAGATTGGACGAAAGAGGTGTAAAACCTGTGGAAGAAGTGACTTTTGCAGAGTTAAAATCATATAATAGGGACCAGCTTCGAGCCTACTGTTACATTTACGGTAGGTAATACTTTTTCATTATATTCCGTATTTGACTCTAAGATTTAGGAATACCTCGCAAGAAGAAGGCGGAAATGGAGTTGGACATGGCGCGTTATGCGTCAGCTTTTCATCCCGGAGACCCTAGTTACGACCTTGCAACGTTTGAAAATGTTGAAAGCACACTGTTACCCAAAAATTCGTCGCCTACTAATAATTTACATAGTACACCTTTTAGTCGTTCGTCCATCTATTACCAACCCAGTTCTACGGACTTGGACGGTGCTTCAGTTTCGCAGCCACTTAGACCTGCAAATATACGAAACGCTAATCTTGGTTATCCACAGAGTCACTATAACAACAACTTTAACGTAGGTCGTGGTGAAAGAATAGGAGTGGATAGCACCGCAATGAATTTCAGAAAAGCTACGCCGTTTCGTCGAGTTGCTCCTAGTTCACGAAGCATTGTTAAGCAACGAATTGAAAAGAATAGTACCAAAAATCAGAGAGAACATGCCAGACAAACGGCTGCAAAGTACAGGATGGCTTTAGATGGATTGGTAAGTTGCATCTTTGAAGAATCTGAAAAGGCTGTAAGACTGTGATTAGGGTCCTTTGAAAGTGCCTGTTGTTGCCAATGCAGGCTCTTATTTCCGTTCCTTTGATGAAGTGTCTGAGAAGAAAATACGAGACGAAGCATTCGAGCGTTATGAGGTAATCATATTTACAATTATAAAAAATTTGTTGCGCTAAGTCTTTTTGTTATATTCTAGAGAAATAACAAGTTGTTGTTGGAGCTTTTTGAGAGGCCAATTCATGAGCCAAATATCCATGTAAAGAACGACAAAAGTCCTCAAATTGAACAGTTAAAGGAGCTGATAATGACAAAGGATCCTCACTTTTCAGGGGACCATGAACTGCCTTTACAAGAAGAACATCCCGCACTAAACCTGAAAGATCTATATATGATAGATAATATTAAAACAATGGACGAGTTTTGGGAAGTCAAGAATGATCTGGAAAAGCAGTATAACGTAAATTTTATTCATTCACCCTCTAAAGTCAAGTTGGTCTCTATAGGCAATTCAAAAAGTACAAATTCGGAAGATACAGTGACAATTCTGCATCTGAGATAGTAACGTATCAATGTTTCTTCTGCCTCAAACTATTTCAACTGTCTTATTCATCTGAATGTGGTGAATATGCAGGAGACTTTGGAGAATATGCTGGAGACTTTGGAGAATATGCTGGAGACTTTGGAGAATATGCTGGAGACTTTGGAGAATATGCTGGAGACTTTGGAGAATATGCTGGAGACTTTGGAGAATATGCTGGAGACTTTGGAGAATATGCTGGAGACTTTGGAGAATATGCTGGAGACTTTGGAGAATATATCCATGCTTCACCTCCTTGTGTTCCTCCATTATGATGGCCACTCTCAGCAACTCTACTCNGTGCTGGAGAAGTAGGACTATAACCAGGGCTAGTAGGAGAATATGCTGGAGAACGAGGCATATAGGCCGGAGATGTCGGACTATAAGCTGGACTTGTAGGAGAATATCTCGCCGAAAGTCCATTCGCTGGAGATGTTGGGCTATAAGCAGGACTTGAAGGAGAATATCGAATTCCTGGGGATGTAGGACTATATGCCGGACTTGTTGGTGAATACCGCTGCCCACTTNTTNTTCCAGGAGACGTCGGACTATATGCTGGAGATGTCGGAGAACTGCCGTGCTCTNCCATTGGAGAAGATGGGCTGTACAAAGGACTGATTCCCATTCCTNGATGACCAGGACTTGAAGGTGAAAACTGAAATGATGAACGGTTGGGTGAGAAGGAATAATTCGAAATACCATCGCCAGTATATGGTGAAAACTGCAAGTTCCCCGAATAGTTGATACTCGTCTTGGGAGAGAAACTTCCATATAACGGAGTTGCTGCTGGATCAAAAATTCCTTCACCACGAGGTGTCCCTGGTTCATGACCCGGAGTTCTTTCCCATGAAGGTGCCATAAAGTTCTGCGTATCTTGCCATATTGTACTCNCATCTCTTNACTCTTCCCGAATCNACGCTTCCTCATTTNACAACACTCCAAAACTTCCGGTACCAAAGTTGCACATCTGACCCATCNTGATGTTTTCTGTGACAGAGTTTCGAAAGTCATCCAGTTCTCCAAAGGTTGCTGCTTCCAATAAAATATCAACTGTTTCTTCAAAGGAACTCTTTGCAAGAGCTCCCCTTTCAACTCGGTTTNTACCATGACGGGTTNTGGATTGGAGAAAGCCTCTATGCGTCNTTNTATCTGCAAGTATGGCTNAATGTCGATAATTCNCATCTNAACCATACGGTTCCATAACAGCTCGAATTTCTGACAAAAGAAGAGCTCTTGCTGCTTCGACTCCTNAAATTTCATAAACTTCTNCAACATCATTACTTNTCGTCCTTCGAGCATCTNCAGCAGGATGTGAAAGAACAGCAAGTAAATTGGTACCTTCTGTGTCCAAGACCCATTCGTCAGTAGTCNCAAATGACCCTGTATGCAAGTCAACCTGTTTCNATTTTGTTNCACGCATATATGCTCGATGTATTCCAGGTATTCCTCTCNAATGAAGGTTGGTCNATAAATGAGCTTCAACCTTTTTCNAAAATCGTTCATCGTTGGTCNACTCATCATCATTATCTTCATTGACATTTTCCTCTTGAGTCCACTCTTTTGCATTATCGTTATGTGCTTCGACTNTGCGAATGCGCAATACAAGCTTTTCCGCATTGTCATCTGAATATATACAATCTNAGTCTTCTCCAAATTCATTGTTTNTCTGTGCAGCAATGTCTCTCNTCNATATTCTCGAATCTTCCATATTGCTTCGTAAAAGTACAAAACGTAAAACCCAAGGAGACAGTCGCTTTTCATCCATTGTTCCCTCTGCATCTNCTNAAAGATATCGATCTTCTNCAAGTTCCGTGTCTTCTTCAATTNAAGTATTGCGTGGGTCGGGATCGTAATAAATTTCTGAATAATGTACAACATTTTTCNGTGTGATGTATTGTAATTCACTCNTGACACGTTTGGCTGCCTCTTCATCACGAGCTGCGTCTCCTTTTNAATAAACAGTAAGAGAAGGCTTCTTCNTATTCTTTGCCACATTAATAACCTCTTTGAATCTTGGCACTCCAAGTGTCNCATTCTTTTCAGAAACTCCAGCAAGATGAAAAGTGTTTNGTGTCNTTTGAGTTGTAGGTTCTCCAATACTTTGAGCAGCAATAGCTCCTNTCNTTTCTCCAGGAGATACTTGGGCTCGTAAAAAGCGACTTTCAATCTCACCCAAAAGCCAAGAAAATGCTTCTGAATGAAGACGATGAAATGCAATAATCCTTTTGGTAGCCAAAGTGGCTCTAATATGTATTTGAAATAATAAGGTGGCGTTGAGTTGCAACTCCGTACTAATAGAGTCCTCTTGCTTTGAACAATGATGAGCCTTTGTATTGTCATCCTTTCCTTGTTCATAGAGTTCTNCTTCCAAAGCTNATACACGAGTTCTCCGTAATAAAAGTTTCNCACCTTCCAAAACTGCTCGAGGATTGAGATTAGAAACGGAATTGGGGTGAATACCAAAAATTTTCTTAGTATTATCAATGAGTCTTTCTNCATTCNCAGGTAATGCTNCACGATTATCATCCGTTCTGGGAAATACAGAATGTCTCNAGATATATCTATCTTCCTTGATGGTCTCAAATTCTTGATTTNGAAGAACAGCAAGCTCAGGATCACTATGAACGGCTTCCAAAACATCCACTTCCAAATATCGTCTACCATTGGGTGCTTGTCCAAACCTTGTATCAAATGGATCCATTCGATAGGCAACCTCCAGTTCTCTATCACTCNTTCGCATGGACGGAATAATCTGGCGTTCAATAATAGCACCATCCATTCCATCTTCTCCATAAAGAAACTGTACAGCATGACCCCCAGAATCTCGAACCGTATGATCATAATTAACCATAATATCCTCCATTGCTTTCNTTNATCTTCGTTGAATATATCCTGTTTCCGAAGTCTTTNCAGCAGTATCAATGATACCTTCTCTACCACTCNTAGCATGTAAGAAGAATTCATCCGGAGTTNCACCACTCNAATACGAGTTGAAAACAAAACCTCTAGACTCCGCACCTNAGTCATCAGCAGGATAATGAGGAAGCGTTCTTCTCCGAAAACCATAGAAAATGCGCTTTCCTTCCACATTCTGTTGACCAACGGAAGCCATAATTTGAGATATATTCNATGTGGATCCTTTCGAACCCGCATTCNCCATTCGCTTCNGATTATTTGAAGCAGGTAAGGACCTAGCTGCTGCTGAACCAACCTTATTTCTTGCTTGGTTCNGAACAGAGTTGATCTGATCTTCTNGAGACTCCATCNTCGTTTTTCCAGGTTTGCATTGAATCTCTCCATTTTGTCCCTTTTCAATAAGAAGAGTTNCCTCCTGTCTTGCTGCTTCCATGGTTCGCACAATGTAGTTCNTAGTTTCATCGTCTGCAATAGTGTCTCCAATACCAATAGAAAATCCACGTTGCAATAACCAATGATTGATAAGCAGTTGCACCGAAGAAATAAAATCACAAGTTGCATCCGGTCCGTGTTCTTTCCAACAGACGTGGATAAGACTTCCTGCACGAGTACCAACAGTAGATTTATCAATGACTCCACAAACAAGTTCTCCTCCTGAAATAACAACCCTAGTGTCATGTATGGTCNTGTCTGGACCGAAAATAGGATCGGAATCTGATTCTTCTNCATGCGTTTCTGCAAAACGAATAATATTGACATTTGGAGTTNTCNTGGAAAATAGTTGTTTGCCAGTCCACAGTTCCTTTGGCTTTNGAATGGCAGGTGTCGGAATTTGACCATCAAATCCTTCAATATGCATCNACAAATTCNTCNTCNTATCTCGAGTAATAAATACATCTCTCNTAGTAAAAAGTGAACAACCTNACAAGGTATCTTGTAC